CAAATATTACAATTGGACACACACAGGAGACAAGAATTGAATTGCTGCTGGCCACGGAATTTTCTTTGTAATTTCTCTGTAATACTTTGGACAGTTGGTGAGTAAAAAATTCTATATGATTGTAACAATTTTTCATATAGTGAAAAAGTTTTGACGGTCCATTAAATTTGTGCGTTATATTATTTATTTTTCTTGTTTGCTACTATTGTTCTGAACAACAAAAGATCCTGCGGGTAATAGAAACAGAGAGAATTGGTGTAAATTTCCCAACAACTAGAGATCATGGAAAAACAATTATATAAGTCAAATGGAGTTTGTTGGGAGACTTATGGGATATTGAGGACAAGTAGACATCTAAATGTTGTATTTCATCCACACAAGTGTCGAGAAGGTTCGGTATATAGAAGATACTAAGCACTAAATACCTTAAATCAAGTATAGAATATTGATGAAATATAATTATAGTGTAATTCAAATTATTTCACAAGATTTTTTTGATTATTGTAATTAACTATGAAGAAAAGGGTGAGAAAATTGAGGATGATACATTGAGACAAGATAATGTGAACGAGCCAGTGGCAAATAGTTGACCATACATCAATGTGAAACTGAAGGCAAGTTTGGCTAGAAATTGGATATTGTGAGGAGAATGTTGTTCATTGGTTGTACTTAATTTGTCACGCTCGTTGGCTTTATATAATGCAAGGTATCGTATATGAAAATATAAACAAAATAAAATTGAGAAGAAAAATATTATAATTTTTCGAACTCTAGTTTTATATCCAATACAAACTAATAATAAACGGGTGAATGTCGTCTTTTCCCTATTATAAAAATTGCTTAGATTAAATGATTAAATTGAACAATATAATGCATGCATATAATGCATGCTTATAATATGCATATAAATTATTTTAAAATAAAGTGTTTTTCATTATGTATCCCCTTTCCTTTCATTTCTTTTAAAACTTAATATTAACATCGTGAGCTCACTTGGTCTATCGTCTAACCAATCTGAATGTAGTAAGCAATTATTATTTGGAACTCGATTCGTTACTGTCAGTATGCATCGATTAAGGTATCAATGCTTACATATCTAAATTTTTTTCATGGAATTAGCTAGTTGACCTCAAGAAATCAGTATGCATCTATTAAGGTCTTCTTCAAGAGCTCACATCGATAAAAATGAAATTTTGACATCTTGGCCACATATATAGAAGAGTTAAAAGTTCGGAGAATGATCTAAAAATTCTAGACCCATCAAACACGACTCATTCTAATCCACTGAAACTTTTAAACCATATGAAGGTATCAATGCTTACATAAATAGAAGACGATGTGAACGAGAATTTCATGAGAAAGGTCTATCATATCACGCGGAAATGTCTATACCCCGTTGGTCATGGTGTTTTGAAGACGACAATTTAAACTATAGCAATCAAATCAAAATAAAGTAAGATTTTTTTTTTCCTTCTTCTTTTTCTCTTAGACTTAGTAGCAGGATCACACCATAGCATAGGCAGCAGCAGTTTTGCTATTAGTCATAGAGTTTAGGACCAGATAATCTTGGGATTGGAATTGCAACCAGTGGATTTCTCATCTTTAACACAATCCCAAACTTTTCTGAAAGCTCCAACCTTTCTCCAGCAGGCAATCTCCAGTCAAAAGAATGAACTAATGAAGCCAGTGAATACATAAACATCCTCTCAGCCATTGCTGTCCCTGCACAAATTCTTCGTCCCGACCCAAACGGAAAATATTTGAAGTCATTACCACTGTAATCCCATTTTCCATTCAAGAATCTCTCAGGAGAAAACTCCAAAGGGTTTTCCCAGATAGTAGAATCATGGTGTATTGCCCACACGTTAACGAAAACTCGAGCCCCTTTGGGGATTGTGTATCCTCCAACAGTGCAGGTTTCACTAGGGCAGTGGGGGACTAAAAGTGGAAGAGTAGGATGTAGACGAAGGGCTTCTTTCATTACAGCATAGAGATATGGAAATTTGTTAATATGGGATTCTTCTACTATGTTGTCTTTGCCTACTACAGTCTCCAGTTCTTGCCGGACTTTATTTAGAACTTGTGGTTTGTTTATCATTTCTGCCAAGGCAAATTCGACTGCGTTTGATGTTGTGTCTGTTCCTCCAACAACCATATCCTGTAAAGTTTACTTACTCGTAAGCCCTTTATTTGGTGGGAATTAAATTAATAAATTTTGATAAAAGTTGATGAAAAGTGTGGTTGAAAAATTGTGGATCCAAAATATGTGGTTAAAATTAATTATTCAATTGAATTTAAATTAAATTAAAATTTTAATTTCTACCGAACATGGCTAAATAAGTTTTTTGATTTGTCAAACAAAAATAATATTATCTTTTACTTATTTCCAAGCTTAACCATCAAATATATCCACAGTGCATGTTGGTTTTCCTACACCTCTACAAAGTGAGATAAGTCGTGCCTATGTACAGTTCATATTCATAGGAAAAACAGGAATTATAAAAATGAAGAAGACAAAAGCCATAGGAAGAACCGAAAATTCATGGACACAACCTATGTTTAAATCAAGGAATTTTGTTGCCATCACCTATCGTAAAACTCAAATCTAAGGAAAAAATGCTCAATATGCTTGTAAACCCATGAGCCAAACTTTACTCTTAAGGATGTTGGACTCGACAAAAGTCGTGATTTTCTTCCGTATTCATGTATCAAGACTAGTTCTTGAAGGCTATGATTTGATTTTGATGCGTCATGCTTTCCCATTTGTGAAAGTAAAACATTAAATTAAAGATAAGGTGGAGGAAATAATTATTACCATTAATAAGGATTTGAGGTGTGTCATTGTAAAAGGAACTTTGGCATCTCCAGCATCCTTCAGCTGCAAAAGGAACTGCAGAAAATCTTTGTTTTCTGCCCCATTATCTCCCATTTTTAACCGTTGATCGATCATGGTCTCAAATATCCTATCAAATCTCTGTGCCAAAATCTTCATCTTCTTCTCTACTCCTTGCAGATCAAAACGCTGCAAAATTGGAAAAAAATCTGATAAATTAGGCATCCCTAACAATCCTGTCATCTCTGTAACCACTTCTCTAAACTCTGCCCCAAGCCCGGCCCGATCTTCGCCCTTGATCGTGCCACCCCACAACATGCTTGTAATCACATTCAGCACAGTCAGAAACATCTGCTCTCCAATGTTGACCGGTGAACCGGCCTGGCTATGCAAGTATTTAATCGTCTGCCGGAGTTTGCTGCGTCGCAGGGAGTATACAGAATCTAAAGAAGAAGTACCAAGCATTTCTCGGACGCATACTTTCCTCAACATTCTCCATTCAGGTCCATACGGTGTCCAGACTATGTCTGAGCCGCCGTAGGCCGCTTCTTTGGCGGCCACCGGCACGTCCCGGTTGGCGAAAGTCGTGTCTTGATCCTTAAGTACTTCCCTAGCCAAATCTGGTGAGCTGATTACTACACCAATCTTTTTGCCTAGCTTCAGGGTTAGAATTGGACCATAAGTTTTTGCTAGGGTTGTGAAGTATGTATGAAGTTCAGGATCAAGAGACAAGAGGTTTCCCAGAAGGGGCAAGCCTTTGGGGCCTGGTGGCAGTGAATTAGGACCTTTTTTCTTTGTTTTTCCGATGAATAATAGCACGAACCAGAAGATGAAAAGTACGCCAACCGCCGCGGAGAGAAGCAGCCTAATGCTCTCATCGGAGGAAGTGTCGAAGAACTTCTGAAACATTTTTATGGAAGCTAAAGGATTGGGAGTAGCTAGAACAAGTTCTCTCTGAGCTTGTTTGGGAGGGATTAAAATCAGATTAAAATTGAAAATATAGCTGTTATTGTTGACTTTTATTAGACGGGTGAGACCCAATAACGATCATATTTTCAATTTTAATTGGATTTTAAGCCCTCCCGAACGGGGCCTATATTTCTTGGGATTGTAAAAGGATAAATCATAAATAATGTGAGATTTTAAATCACACAAGGGTGTTGACCTGTCAATAATTTTTGAATAAAGCTTTTTTGTCAGAAAAAAATGTCCACATGGTGATTTACTCTTATATAAGTGTGGGACCACGTGAAATAAAAAATGAAAAAAAAGCTCCCCAATGTGTGTGTCGTGTCAGGGAGGGTGTCTGCAGCTTTATCCATAAATTTTGTTCATATTTCAAAAGTCAACAAAATAGTGTAAAACCTTATAACTAAAATAAGAGACTAACTTATTAATATGTAAAAATAAAGAATTAAGCCATGTTGTCAGAAAGAATTTGACATCTCGAATGATTTACTCTTACATGTGCATGGGCCCCGCATGGGACCCACGTGAATTTAAAATGCAAAAAAATCCCCCCACCCATCCCCAACTGTGAGTGTATATCACATAGGGTGTCCAATTCTTTCTGGCACCCTAACATGATTAGAAAATAAAATAAACCTATACAAGAAAGATTCGCGTGTCAATGTCAATTTCATCGTTTATGTCGATGGAATCTTCAAGCCTCAACGGCATCAAAAGCACGCGCTATTGTTAGTGACATTTTATTTCTTAAAGCATTTAAATAAGTTATTACTGTTATCTCAAAGTACGGCAGCCAATTATTTAGTCAAATTTGCAAACTATTTTAGGACGGCCGATTAAACAAATCGTGAGATATGGACAAAAATGCCTTCTCCAATATTTGCTAAGAATCATTCTGAATCATCCTGCCAAGATATCAATCTTAACATGCCTCGTCTATCAAGTAACACACTTAACGACAAAAGTTTCTTCGTTTGGTTGCTACGGTAAATCAAATCGACCACAAAATCAGTGTTTCGGCTTAAACACTTACAAATGATCACTTACAAAAGAATGAAATCTTATGGCTGTTGAGTGGCGGACCATAATTGTCAAGTAGTCATTACTCAAATTTTTAGGGTTGGTTTGTGGTGGAGGTGACACGGACATCGACACCAATGGTTGATCCAAGGGGTAGTTGCTAAATTACGTTGACTTGCTAAATGGTTGATCCATTCTTTAGTTTTGATTTTATTATTAGGTTGGTTTGTGGTGGAGGTGATGCTGACATCGACACCAATGGTTGAAGATAGCTGTGCGATTTTTATTTTTTGGGTGGGGTCGGGTAAAGAAGACATACTTTTATATTTTTCTTTTATTTATTTTATTTAAAATTAATTAAAATATGGTCAAACTTAATTTTGGTGATCAACTGACGAAAAAATGGATGGAACCATCCAAAAGGACCTCACATGCAATGATTGAAAATGTTAGGGGTAACGGCTGCAACAAATCAAAAGTTTGAAGAAAGTCTGCTAATGTTTTAAAGGTATGAGGTTTTGCTGTAATTATCCCTAAAAATTATGTTGAAAATTTGCAGTTTGATCAAACAAATGGCAAAATTAGATTCAGAACTTGCAAGCTATAATTTAGATGCAAGAAATAGTTAAGTTTGGAATTCAAGCCAGGGCTTAGCATGTTTTATTGATGCTATTGATGGTGTTCACGAAAACATCTTTTGAATTAAAATCATCGTAAGTGTACGATTTGTTAACAAATAATAAAGTGAATTTGAGTCCAAGTATCGTCTAACAAAGATTGATTTAGTTCAATTTTAATCATCGCGACCTTAACTGAAACACGAATAATAGAGTGTGTTTATTTGTGACAAAATTAAAACTAAAATAATCTACTAATACAATTATGAATAAATTAACTAAACGAAATGTAAATTATGCTAAATGCAAATTGATATGTTCAGTAAATGACAAATGCACTAGGATTTCGAATTCCTATGCAATAATAATTTTTAACCTTAGTTCTACATTTTGACAACACGATTGAATTTTGACGAATCGATATTCCTATTTTATCTAACAATCTCTTTCGAGTAATGTTAAACACATTCTCATATATAACCCCCCTTATATTTCTACGACGGATGCGAATATACAATAATATATGAATTTTTATTAAAGTTGAAAGATTCACATATAGTATAGCGGTATATTTTCATTCGATATCGGGCACTATGACAATTTACATCATGTCGAACCTATTTTCCTTCTTTCAAATGTATAAAATAAGTCATCAAATTCATATAATTTTCGTGCACAATAAACATAGAAAAAAAATAATCATGTAAATCATTCAAAATCCAAAAACGTATTTTCAATGTCAAATATGTAAAACTAAAGATTAAAAATTCATATTACAATGTTCATCATTCTCCTAATACAAGTAAATTTAGCCTAACATGTTATGAGAAATAAAACAAAAGATCTAAATGTTGTTCGTTACCCCGAACCATTGATACCGTTCTTATGATGATGATTGTGGTGATTCTGCCTCGTCATCCGTTTGATCGACTCTTCTCCAATCACTCTTGATCCCTTTTCAATCTCCTGACTAATCAAAATCTTATCAGGCCCATGGATCTTGTAGTAACTCAACACGCCATCCTGCAGCACAAACCATCTAGACCTCCACCCTTTACCATAATTGACCCATTTGCTTAAAATTCCAGAAATTCCATCGCCCACTGTTTCCCTACAATTTTTTGAGTTATCAAGTAATAGAATTCATACAAACAAAAATGGCCAATGGCCAATAACGGGTACACTAATAATTGGCAATGTTTTTTCCATATTCCAATTTATTATATAATGGAACTCCACCAGACAGAAGATAAATGGGCAGAAAGGATGGCTTAATTGCACTTCACGGAATCAGTTAAAGTTAACAGTGTGCAAGCAACATGCAATGCACGTTTGCCTAGTTTATATTTAATAGTTTTGTTTAATAATTATTTTGTTATGAATAAAGATGTCATTTTTTTGGTTAATTAAATAATTAATGATGTAATGTTTATGTAATTGTTAAATAATTAGATGTGTGATTTTGATGTTATAATGTAAGTTGGTGAGATCGAAGAAAATAAGTAAAAGTTGACAAATTTGAAGAAATAGCTAAATTGTAAGGGATCCAAAGTTCGGGGATTAAAATGTAAATACTTAAAAGTTGTGCCGAACCTCATGATGAAGATTTGAGAGTGCTCAGAGTCAATTGGATAAAGAAAGACGTCAATGGAATCAAATTTAGGCAAAAGATGATCACAAATCAATTTCCAACCGAAAAGTTATGCTCCGATATTTTAGTCTCATATTGAGACCTATTTTTGGCATATAAAGTGATC